ATTGAACGCCACAAAGGGAATCTTGATTATTACTTTCCATCTTTATTCTGCTTCTTTTTTTTTTCTTATTCATCATCATCTAAATCTGCATTTGAATGGGAGCACCCGTCGAGTCAGCTTCTTTTTTTGTTGTTGCTCTACGTGTATATGTGTAGATTTAATTAAGAGACTCTGACATTTTTATTTAATTTCCTTCATCGCCCTCGCTATTCTTCGGACCTTTTCAAGAAAAAAAATAATAATGAAAGAAGATAAACGCACCTAATCCTATAAGGGGGAGAGACAGTCTTTAATTATCATTCAGGACAATTCTGCTCATATCTTGTTCTTCTCGGAACTTGCAAAAGAAGTTTCCCAGAGAAATCGGAAACCTTGGGGGCATCTGGGGAATTGTGCGAAAGATTTGAATAAACATTCGGGGTGAATTAGTGGCTGGAAGGAGGAGGAGGATGCGAGTGATTAGTGAACGCCGGTGGAAAACGTGCAAATAGTTTGCCGGGTGTATAAACATTTGTTTACGTGTTTAGGGGGGGAAGTTTTGGGTTGCGGTCGTCGCAACGCCGCTTGCAACGACGTGGGTCTGTGATTTTATAAACACAGATAAATACCGAAGGCGTTTTTCGGGTAAACTCATTAGGTCTTTCGACAAATGACTCGCTGCAGCAGCCCTTAATCTATCCATCTCTCCCTTCTATCCACTACCTGTCAGAGGACATCTGTTTCATAACGCCTTGCAAGCCACTTATCCTATCGGGTTTCCGCACGCCTCCCAGAACGAATCCGACCGTAAAATCACCAACTATTTACACCAATAACAACATCCTTCTTCTATGATCTTTACCATGTTTCTACTCAGCAAGTACTAATCCATTAATTGTCTCCTCCATCTATCATACATTCATTCATAATTCTTCAGTAAAATCAGCAAATATTTCGGACTAATTGAAGGAGAAATTACTGCCGCATCCCGAAGTGACTAAATCGGATGCATAATGAGTCGGACAGCTGTCCAAATATCATTAAGGAATTTTGCACCGACTTCCCTTTAAACACACTCACGAGGAAGAGACGATTGCATGCATAATCTGTTTACTCGCCGGCTACGAAAATATTTACTTAATAACCCGAGTCGTTTGGGAATACCAAAAGAACGAAGAACAAGAAGTAAAGTGAAATAAAATAAAAAAAGCATCCGAACTATACATATTTTTGTTATTCTTGGCAAAACAAGGACCGCTCCCGAAATGCAATTCTATTTTCCCATTTTACGAACGTCGGAGTGGATGCGATAAATTAATTTGCCTCTTTTAAAAAAAAAAAAAACCTCTTTATCGATTGGTTTTGTTAAGTGAAAAGATAATCAATTTCAATTAAGTGGACGTTTGAGCGCGTCGCGACGCCGGGTTTTCTCTCTCCATCTCTCTCTCTCACACTCTTTTACTCCATCGTTCCCTTCTCTTCTCGCACCGAACGTCACCGCATTTTCATTTTGCTCTTTCACGACAGCAATAATTGTTTCAGGATTTTGGGCCACGCGCGCGACCGTGCAAAATGAAAATAATATAGAAGCATTTATATAGAAGCGCTTCGTCCTTTTCGGTATTGATGTAATCGTCGGAAAAATTCAATTATCTCTTCGGAAGGACACTGAAGCCAACTGTACTTGTTCCTATCGACAAAATCACTTTAAAAATTTGATTCTTGAACTAATCTCACAACTCTAATCTTGTTTTCTGTTAAACTAATATAAAGAATAGACCGTTCAAACTTGAGATGCGTTTCATTTGATCTTATAATAATATTAAAATCAAACTAAATAATTCAAAGGGTACTATTCGAATGTCGAAGAAGATTAGGAGGAATTGTATAGAAAGAAAAAAGGGTCAAGCATAAAGAGCAAAGCGGGTTTGCAGGTTGAGAAAGGGGTTTTAGTGGTTTCGTTAGTTCCCCGTCAATCAGAGAAGGGTACGAACTTCTGCAAGAATGGATTTGAACCGGACTTTAGACAAACTTCAGCAAGCACCCTTAATGGAAGACTAAGCCGACGAGGCAACAACAAAAAAAATGTATTCAATTCATAAAATCCAATTTAAGAGACGACAGATTTATTCAACATATCATATGGTAGTTGTCAAACTGGATTTTAAATATTGTAATTGAAGATAGTTGAGATCTGCGAGAATATTCGAGTCTCGAAATAATAGCCCAAATATTGTCGTCGTTTCGTTTCGCATCTCTTAATATAGAAAAGCACAAGGATTCAATGCAGTGATGTTGGGAGTGCATGCGTGAACACATTTATCGTGAGGTTTGTTCTCTTACTATTTTGTTGACAGACATCTGTGCTATAATGAAGCAATTAAATGAATAGTCGGGCAGTATTCACGTGTAACCTAAGCATATATTTCCACAAACTATTTTTAAATAACTCATAATTAACTTAATAAATTATACTACTTTTTATAAAAAAAAATAAAATACATGATTATGGGTCAAACTTGTGTTGGGTTACGTTACACTTTCAACCGGATATTTGATTTGGAAAGTCACGAGACGATATTAATAATTGCAATAATTATAAAATTAAAATGGACAATGTTTGAAGGTTGTAAGATTAACAGTTTGCAATTTATAGAGTGTTGTTGTTAGTAGCAGAGGGTGCGTTAATTATTTTCCAATTGGTGGATTGATCCGTGGGTTGTAGTTGACGGGCGTAGAAGGAGAGCGCGCGCGGGGGTGGTTCGCGGAGGGTTTGAAGAGTGTCTAAGGGATGTTAATTGCATTTGCATCTTGACAGTTTCTTGTTGGTGGCGCGTCGCAACGGGTTAAGGTAAGGAGGCCGCGCCGCGATGAATTATTCAGGGCCTGTTTATGCGGGCTGACACTCTTAATTGGAATAACGCTCTGATTTCAGATATAGATTATTCACGGGATCATCGGCTCCCGCGACAATCGAAGCGCCTCTTCCTCCGCCGCCCCATCTTATCCATCCCTCGAGGTGGGGGTGGCGACGGAGAGTAACACGATAATAACAAACGATGCACGCACGCTCTACGAGACACGGCTTCCTATAATCAACGATTAACAAATCATTTTGGCACCGGATCGTTCGCCACTTTGTCACCGGTGGCATCTCCGCTAAATCATCACTTATTTTTATCCCGGATACCGACATGGAATTTCCAGTTCGGAGAAATTATTCCGAATGAATTACCAGCGGCCGGCCACTCGGAGCATTCCCAAGCCGCGGCGGGTCCACATTTAGCAGCTCAGCTTGTTGATGGTGCGATTGATGTGTGCGCCAGGAATTTTAATATGTCCGGGGTGGCAATTATCCTGATAAGATAACGCTCCGCGACACGCTTATTAGGCCTGTTCGGAATTTAATTTAGCAATAAAATTGGGGAGCAAAAAGAGCGCCGATTATGTTCCTTTTTAATCTATTGCATATTGCATAAACACCTCTAATTTCCCTCTAATCGGATTACTGGACGCAATTGCCCTGAAAACATCTCGTCACATTCATTAAACATTATTTAATACTGTTACATTTTTTTTCTATATTTCAATGATATCCCAAAATATCCACTAATAATTATACAAATCGCAAGATAAAACTGTTTCACTAAATCATATATTTGATTGAATACTTTATGAATTACAATCAAATTTAAATATGAAATATGCTCAAACTCTGCGCTGTTTGTTTTACTTAAATCAACCGAAAATAGATTGATGTCGCTTCCACCAATAACAGATATGTTATGGCAGGTTTTACAGTAACTAATCCGCTCGTAATTTGTATTTCTGATCTAAATATAAAAAGTCACATCTTAATATCGATTAAAAAAGAATAAACATTTCGGACAAATTTAATAATATTTGTATATAGTACGAAGTAGTATTCACCTATCTGCATAGGTCAAGGATCAGTTTCTCGAGATTGCAAATACTCCTATTGACATTTCCTGATTCAAAATTGGCACTTAATGATCCGACCGTCGTCGGGAATCTGTTGCGGCCTCTCCCGAGACCAATCTTAAAATTCCATCAAGCAATTCAACTCTCTGTAATACCTCTGTTCTTCCATACAGCATCATTATTCCACGCTCAAAAGGTCTTTGATTCTGCACCTTGTTTTTATTTTAATTTTTTTTTTGAAATACAAGTCAAACAAAGTTAACAAAATGTTTAATCAGAAAATTACACATAGTGTGCGTTTGTATCTGTTTTATATTTTGTGTTTCGTTGCATAAAAGGATGAAGGGAGAACGGATTAATTAGTTTAATTGCGATTTCTAAATGGGCCTTCGATAGTGGGATGAAGGTGTGCTTTCATTTGCGTTTCGTTTAAGTGAATCAGTTGGCAATTAGTGGATGAGCCAGCAATTTGAAATGCCGCCTGTTTTCCCGCCAATGGAGCAACGGTTTCGGATGCGCCAAGTTTGTTGTGATATAATTTCGCAACTGGGGGTCCCTGTGTACGTACTTCAACTAACACCACAACATCGATGAAAAGCTCTCATACCTACCTCTACCTACGTTGCTTTGCTTATCCCCCCGTTCATATTTTCATTTAAACTTAATTATTATTCTATTGTATTGTAATCCGCACTGAATGCAGTTAATGCGGGCTCTCGAAGCGTTAGCATAAATAATTAGGAAGAAATATAAATGAAAACAATTAAATTAAATCTCGACGCTAGATAATGCTTTATTAGCAGACAGATTTATGCAGCGCTATTATTTTTTTTTCTTTTCTTTTGCTATACGCTAAATTATTCATCTGTTGCAATTAATCTGTACATATAAGAACGCATAGTAATGATGTATAGTAATTGCATGAATATTTAAGCAGGCTACGGCGCAGAGAGCCCTTAGGATATTCTACTAATTCAAATTAACTATTAACACTTGAAATTAATTTCTCATATTAATTGCATCGTTCGAACACGTTGTAAATTCAATAATTGGAAATATAAAAAAAAGCAAACATTTACCTTTTGTTCTACAGGAAGCAACATTTATATCGTAAGCGACAGTTTTTGATCTTGCCAACTTACCTGAAACAAAAAGAAAACAATAATTAATATACAGGTGAATATGCATAAGCACGATAATTCAATTATAGAAGACGGGAAATCCCCTGTTCACACGATCTCTAGATAAACGTCAAACTTGAGAAATAATAAAATAGCAATATTTAAGTTTGGAATCATGCGATTTGTGTTATATTATAATTATTGTGATAGGTGATATTGATTAGACAAACTAGACACGACATCTATTGTATTAATGCTACTTCGACTCAATTGGTGATAATATCAATTACACACTAATAAATTTCTTTTACGACTTCGAAACAATACTATAATTGACACAACGAGCTCTTGTGTTAATAAAAAAGAAACAACAACCTTATGCACATAATTTACTTCTTGGTATAAGTCAGCGGTCGAGGAACTTTTTTAACAATTACCCCAAAATATTTTTGCGTAAGTCGATATTACCCCCCCCCCCCCATTCTGAAAAGAAAACAATCAATGTAAATTTTAAATAAACATTATTTATTGAATTAATTTACATTTACCCCAAATATTATATAAATATAAATATTTTTGCGTAAGTCGATATTACCCCCCCATTCTGAAAAGAAAACAATCAATGTATAATAACATATTATTAAATTAAATAAACATTATTTATTGAATTAATTTGCATTTACATATTTATAAAAAAGTTACATGAAAATAGTAACAAATAGTAATAGACAAACAAAATAAAATTCTTAAATTGGAACAAACAAAAATTAATTGAAAACTTTCCCCCTTCAGGTTTTGGAAACATGATGTTGCTTCATGTTTGATATAATTACTTCAAAATTGGGACTTTTTGATGTAAGAGCAATTTGAATATACAGTCCTCGGCCTTTGACAACCAAAAAGACGACAGATTTGCTTTGGTCTCAAATTGAATACAGTATTGGATGGAAGTTCAAGAATCTGGAGGTTCTTCTGGTATGTTAGTAATTTCACATTTAAAAGGATCTATAACCCAAATCACAGTTTGTACATCAAGATCTGGAAAGTAGTCAGAGAACCGCTCTCTGAGTTTGTTAAAATTAAATTAGAAAAATTTCCCTATTACCCAAAAAAAAAAACATTTTTACCCCATTTTGGGTAATTTACCCCGGGTCCCCTACCGCTATTATAAGTTGTATGAAATACGATTTTTTTGAAGTGAAATATTGTTTAATTTGGTAATTAACCTTTAGCGTTTGTATAATGTTAAAGTGTGGAGTATTTTGTGAGGAAGGAGGATTAGTTTTGAAGTATAATACGAGGGCGCCCCATTATTCGGGTAGTCTGCTATTTACTTAGCCGGTTTAATTATCGAAATAATTAAAGATCGGAATCGCGAATATGTCTCACATGCATTACGCAATTAACCGGGGGGAGAACAATGTCCTTCTTGGGGAGGACATAAATTTAAAGATTTTTGATAGAGATATTTTATTATTTATGGGGTTATTGCGGCGGCGGAGTTGCGTTCGCTCTTGATTAGCATGGCGTGTATATAAAATCGGCGACACTCGACTTGCTTGAGATGCGGCGGTGGTAAGGGTAAGAGTAAGGGTGGTAGTTCAGACTGCGATGGGGTGGATCGGTGGTGGTGGTGGATGGCCGCAACGACGCTATTCCAATAATTGAATCGCTCTCCAATAGCCGTAATGCGCTAATAATACGTCATAATGTGCGATCGTATCGGGGGCTGATGGAATTGCTTTGTTTCGGCGGTGGCAGCGATGGGGGCTTCATAGGACTGCAGAGGGAAAGAGAAAGAGCGAAGCTTCTTCTTGTGGGGGGCTCTCAGATAGATTGGGGAGATGTAATACAATTTAGAGAGAGACTCGCCGCCACGCCACCACCCCCGTGGCCAAACGTAGGAGATATGAGAGAGACGAGCGTATACTGCTACTCCTAGTATATATAGATAGATAGTGTAGTGTATTGGAAGCACACTAAAGGACTCAACTTCTACTATATATTATTATATGTGTGTGTATCTGATCGCGATGGATCAATTCGTGCACCACTCGAAATCCTTTCGACCCCCATCATCATCATAATAACACGCATTAGAGGCGCAGATTAAAAATCCCAGGACCACCACTGGTTGAATACGTAACGCAAGTCTGGAAAAGTGGACCTGGACATTAATTAGGTTTTTTCTTTCTGTTGAAATTGCATTCAGTTCCGCGGGGGTGGATCGTGCCGGAGGGGACGAACGCAATTAAAATTATCTATCAGAGGAGGGGTGGTGGTTCACCGCCTACTCTTCTCCTCTTCCTCTGACTCCTCCATCACCACCACCCCCTTCTGCGTGTATAAACGACGAAGGGCGAGAGAGGCGGGCAGGGCAGGGGAATTCCCCGGGAATGGAATAAGTGGCCGCGTAATTGGATTTGTTTATGCGTACGTGTAGCTTTGTTCGTCGCTCCGTGCAAATGTTTCATCTAGACTAATTACCATTAATGGAAACTTGCATTCTATCCACATACGTACTACACATATATATACATACATTCATATACTCTTTATCATTATTATTTCTTTTTTTTTTGCTTTTCTTTGTCGAGAGAAAATTTCATTAATTCATACACCCATTTTCATTTTCCACATACACTTTTCTCTAAAATACTCTTTATTTATATCTTTTTGTGCACTGCACCATGGTTTGTTTGGTATGGAGCGGCGGTTGCAAATAAATAACGCGATACGAACATGCATGATTGGGTTCGAACCCGAAATGTAAAAAAAAAAAATCAAAATTCAATTCTTATTACAATTTCCTTTTCAATTTCTCTATTTGAGCGTAAAACAATACAAGAAGAAACTGTTTTATTTTTCTCTTTTTTTCCATCACACGAACGAAAACACGCGGGGGCAGCAGTAATCACACTGACCCTCCCGAATCATCGATCCGTCGCTCTCCGCCACTTCTGAAGAAACAATTTATCGTGGAATTAATTTGAAACCTAACGCTTCACTTTCACACCTCAGCGATTTGCACCGGAAATGAGCGCTCTCCAAGAAAACAAATCAGTTCCACACTTATTTATCGGATATTAGGATAGGCCTCGCCTCAGATGGTTTGAGGTCGTCCGTTCAAACACCGAAGACACAAACAATCTCGTCTCATCAAACAACGCAAAAATATACAATTTGCACTTACATATATCATCATAATTAAACAAATTAGATTAGAATTAAATATTTTTAATTTTGATTGATTTGTCAATGATTTTTTTTTAAATTAATATTCCTTATAACAATTCATCATTAGACTAAATTAATAGATGCGACCAATAGATTTTATTGTGATAAAAGTATAAATACATCTAAGAAAAGAAAAAAAAAACTGTTTTTCTAACAAGTAAATAAATGTTGGATGTTTCTTGTTTTGCCACCCAATTATGTGGTGAGAATCGGAGCAAAACAAGTTGTCAACTTCTCGCAAAGACTGGCTTTTTATTCCCGTTTAAGGGTATTAAGGCTGTCTCGCGCCGTTTTATTCGCACAGCATCACTCGCTGCTCTATTAGGCCCTCGATTTATGGAGCGAACTTGCGAGGAGCGAACTACGATTCACCAGAAAAAGACGCAGCACATCTAATCGACAAGTTGATTAATATTTCAAGTCCATTTTTTTTCGAGTCTGCAAGGACATTTGATGTGTGTGTGCTTCAGCCCAGTGGTCTTTATAGGAGATCCACGAGTGGCGAAATCTGTCCGGAACAACAGAGTCAAGTGAGATAAAGTGTGACAGGGCGAGGAAGGCTCTTGAAAAACAGAAGGGATCACCACCGGCAAAACCAGCCAACAAACAAATAAGAACCAGAGCGCGCGGATAATTCATTGAGTACGCAACGGCGACGGCCCTTTGATCTGAACGCAATCGGTAATTCCATCCGGGCAAACGATTGTAGCGTTAAAACTAATTTATTAAACGGCGCAAACCGAATTTTGATATAATCAGAGCTTTAATGCAAATTGTTCAATTGTTTAAACGTAATTTATTAATTACCCACGCACGCACGCCACGTTATTCGGCAGCTATTTCCACGGCTGCAAGTGTGGAAATAAACGAGCGATCCGTTTTGTGATATTTCCCTTTTTGGAAAGCGAAAATCATCATCGTGATTGACGGGAATGCGTCGCGCCGTGTTCACTTAGCAAACAGGATTCGAGCAAACACTTTGCATACACACACACTTTACTACAAAAACAAAAGATGACATCAATTCCATTCCATAACTTAACATAAATCAAATTGGTCCATTTTCATTTAATAAGTCAACATAATTATTACTTTTGTACTTATCTTATATAAGACAAATTTGGAAATTTATCTATCTGCTTTCGATGAATTTGGTAGGTTTTGCGGTTTTATCGTGACAAAATAATGAGGTTTCTTCTAGTCAATGATTATTCAATAGAAAAGAAAAACGTTTACCACATTTACAAAATATTGTAATTTCATCGAATCAGAATTAAAGAAAAACTGTTCAAACAAAGTATAATTTACAAAAAAACAGTTGAGTAAACACTGTATATATGTTTATAAAGCTACCTAAGCGAAGATGTAACAATAATAACAAATATTTAGTTGTCTTGGGCAAAGAAGACATAACACGGTGATCAATTCCAACAACGTAATAGATGCTTTTACATCTACTAAAGTGTGACGATAAATATCGGCGTTACGAATGTTTATTATCTTATTTACGTACAAAAAAAAAATTGGATTCGAAATAGTTATACGATTTTGTGGAAACACATTTAAAGTGTGTCATTAACGCGCCATGTGCTTCCATCGTTTGTTTAGTTTCGTTTCATCGTGACTTCCTCTTCTTCGTAATACACACCATTTTTTTTTCTGTTTCTCTTCCTTCTCCTCTTATTTTTATACGATTTTCTTCTACTTCTTCTCCTTCTCCTTCTTTTCCCTCTTCCCCTTTGCGCGTCGATAATTGTTTTTGTGTTTGGTTTTTGGAGCCGCAGTCGGAACGCGTCAAGTCATCCGTAAAATTACTTATTTCTAATCAATTCGCGAGCAGCTCCAAAGTAAAAATCCAATTTCTCGTTACAGCAAATAATTGTCTCGCACCGTTTGACCGGTGCAGGCGAATCCACCGATTGCATCGACTTGAGGGGGTGTTGGAGGTTTCGCATCGCACATTCGGGAAATCTTGCGGCAACTGTTTCAGTTCAGTATGCGAATATGGTAAGTGGAGGAGAGTTGTCGAATGTTGACTATTTCTTAATCTAAATGCAATTATGGATATTCTTTATACTTTCGAAATGATAATATCAAGTGAGCTATTAGAATATGTTCGAAGATGGTCCAATCTAGGCAACTATTCCCAAAATCTTCCCGAGAGGTTGAGAAACTCTGTTCTTTTTTGGTATTTTTTGGATTTTGTACGGGGAACGACGTCGGAGACGCGCGTGCAGAGACCGACGCCGGCGTCGCGTGTTTTATTCCCGCGCGCGCGCCCGCTAATTAATATTTGCGCGCCCGGAACGGGAACGTGGAGTAATTAAAACGAAATCGGATATCGAACTATACTCCCTCTGTTCGTACGTGTGTGAGTGTGCGAGTGAGTGAGTGAGTCTGTGTCCATCTGTGTGTATGTGAGAGCGCATTGTACGTAGGGACAAACAAAACGAATCCGAATTAATTACCCGATTAATTGGCCGCCCCCTTCTGCCACCCCCTCTCACCGGCGACGAGGGGCCCGATCGATGCCAATAGCGACGTCGTCGTCGTCGTAGTCGGCGACGGCGGTCGTCGCCTCGCAAAAGCGAAACTTTTCGAAATCCTCTGCACAAATTAACCGCCTTAACGCAATTCCGGATAAATCTGTCCGCTTGTTTCTTCATGAATAGTCAGTCTCTTGAGCACTTTACATTTTCATTCGAAACATTAATTCGACTACCGCTCTAAAACAACTTTCTTCATTCTTTTTATTTACATCACTTAATTATATAATTAATGAATAAAACTTGTTATTAAACTTATTATATTAATTAAATTAAGCTCAAATATATTTTCTCTTAATATTACTTAAACATAATCTGGTAATAAAATTCAAATTCTTAAATAATGTTGTTAAAAATTTAACTGTTTTTATAAGAATTATTATTGTTTTGAAACTCGTCTACTTATTATTTCAAAACGTAAACATTTTCCATCGGAAAATCAATTTGTTATTAGAAATAAAATGCAAATGTATTCAGCATATCATATTTGTTGAAGGAATCAATTACGTTTTCCACTTAACCGGTTATTATATGTTCAGACGTATATTAATTACTAAATAAAATATCAACCAATTAAAACATCCAAGTGATTTATAAAGTACACATTTACATTGAATTACTATTTATAAGTACATTTTTATAACATTAAAAAAAAAGAAAATAACATTTATCTTCTACATATATTATATTATTACTTCTATAATTTCGAACATAAGTTTTAGTAATTATATAAATATGAAAGAAAATAACATTAAATTCAAGTATTTTACTTGTGGTTGTTATGTGCTATTTACGAGGCGAATCCAATATGTGAATCACATGCATCGTTTGCAAATTGTTAAGCGGAAAAAAATGTAAGATTTATTAGTAAATATTACACAGTGCGTACTAAGCATACAAATCTGAAATAGACATCAAACTGGAAAAACGAGTAACCTTGTTATTTTCGTCAGGTGAGCCGAGCCGTAAGAATAATATTTTCCAGAAGAAATAAATAAGTCTTCAAGCACCGCACAAAGCTTTGCCAAAACAAATAAAATGTGTCGTTTAATTTTAGTGCGGATATTATTTTAAATTTTATATTCGAAATAGAGCAAGATTTGAATTTTACGCGCATAAGATGTAATCATCTGTTCTTCCTTTTTAGTTAATTAAAATTTTGGGAACACACTAAATTTTCGTTATTATACAAATCGTGTATTAGGGAATGATTAAGAGCTGCATTTAGTTTCGGCAGAAATCCAGCGTAGTAAAACGAATTTACTCTCCACGTGTTACGATTCTCCGTAACAATAAAGTCGAGCGATGCAACAATTTTCATAGTTTGAATAACATTGAGTAATCGTACTTACAGATTTAATCTTGACTTCAAGTGGTCTGCGGTGAGAAGGGGCCCTTCTGTTGTTGTTTTTTCTCTTTGGCGATTCGCGGACGATTTAGTGAAAGTTCGAAACGGATCAGTGGATGCAATCAAACTGAGCCCTTCCTATGGATGGAAAGGGACGCGCAACACTCACAAGAGGTTGAAGAAGTTTAAACGAAAACAAACACACGAGGGCGAATGCAGAGTCTTGGAAGGTCTCGCGTTCACGAAGCTCGAAGGGCATGTAGCAGTGTAGTAGTAGTACGCTGTGCGAAAGCTCTTGCTCAACTGGATTCGGTGTGATCGCACGGTGCTTCCGTGCGGACTCCGGCCGGAGTTTGGAACGCGCGCGCTCTTCTCGACGGCGTCGGGACGCCGCGCGACGCCCGTCAAACATTCAGACGTGCGCGATCCCTCCTCTCCCCCCTTTCTTCTTCTTCGTCCCATTCTCAACATCAACCACCCCAGTCCACCCCCGGCAAAACGCCAGTTTTCCACGGCTAAACGGTTTATCAGGAGAAGTGTCTCCGATTTATATGTATTTACATTTTCGGAAGAATGGGGGAGAACGCGAACGAGACGCAGACTATTATTGCTAGTCCCATTCACTATACTATACCCTTTTATTATATTCTTTCGAACAACTGTTTAGTAACGAAATTAACAATTATTATCTATACTTACTTAATCCAATATTTATTGACGTTGTTTATCTGCAAAAATACAATTAATATACTAAATTCATTACTTAATTATGTGACTTTTTTTTATGATTTATGACTTCTAGGATTTATCTCTCAATTTCAAAATGAAAATACAATGGAACCTCGCTTAATCTGTTCCAAAATTTCCAGATTTTTACTCTATAACTTAGTCGATTTTTAATGATTTTGCTTTTCATATCTATTGTTCTTTTTATTCTTTGGCTTTTTATTCGAAGATATGCAAATGTTATTAAATTTTGCACAAAAAAAAAGCACAAATAACATGTCTTAATACAAGTTTGGAAATTGATCACAAACAACACTAAGATGCAACTGGAATGACCACTAACACTAGGAACTGTTTTCCAATTCACACACTGTGAAGTGAGTTTATATTACTTGAAGTCTCTTTATACTTTTAATATTTGTTCATATAAGAAAGTGTACATTTGTGTTTTGCATTTACAGCAAACACAACTTATATTTGTAAAGTATAGTTCGCTTTAAATAAAGATGATAAAGAAAATCAAGGATTGTTAATATATTCAAAAATACACATATAATATGTGTACACAAGTTTTAAAAATTATGTAGAAAGCGCGCAATCCAGGACTTCTCTTCTCATCCTCACTCGTTAAGCGCGTCACTTTTCTTACTATTAATTTTGCTCGTTAATCGAAATGCTCGTTAAGCGAGGATCAACTGTACATAAAACATTGCAAAAATAAACATATATTTAAAAAGTTGTATATTTATTATTAAAAATTTACATTATTTGCACTTTATATATCAGCTTCATTAATATAATGATTATTATATCAATTATTATAACATAATAATAACATAATAATAAATAAATTCAAATCTAAAGAAAATGGATAATTTACATTTTATAGTTTATATATTTACTGAATTATAATATACAGGGGAGACATTTTCACTGCACTTTAACCTTCACATCAATGGACTCACATCTTCACATCCGCATCAGAACTTCCTATATAAATCTAGAGAAAGAAAGAAGTTATTTCGAAAGAATCTTTAAAAAATATTGAAATTATTTATTAGAAACCAATTTATATACCAATAATACTATTTTCCTAAAGCAAATACACTAAACAAACTATTAGTATCTAATAAGTATTATAACAAGAATGTATAAATATTTCAGCTGATGTACAACACAATAAATGATATGCATATGGCATATTTGAATAAATATAATGACGTTCGACAAATGTGAGTGAATGAGCTTTTGCACTTGAGATCGTATTTATTTTGTGAATTAACAAATGACCCAAGTCTGAATAATCCGAGGATCCATTTTGATTAATGCTGCGAGAGTAATGAGAGAACTGTGAGTGCGTGTGTTTGCGTGCAACGCATGTAGTGGATGCACATAGTATTTCAGATTTATTTGCTGAAATCATTTTCAATTGCGTTTTGTGTTTGCTGAAGAGTAGAGTTGCCAGAGGGTAGTGCGGGGGTGGTTGTTGTTGTTCGGAAGTTGGAGAGTACAGGCAGTGAGGGTGAGGCAAGCAGTCAGTGAGGTTTGTGTATGAATTGCGGCTCGTCTGTGCGAGATATCTGATCGCGATAGGGGACACGTGACCGTTGCGGCCACTGATATGGACGGCTCACGTGGCGCCCGCGCGATCCCATTACGCAGTCAAACGATTAGTGACAGTCGGAAGGGCTGAAGGACCGAAGAACTGAAGGGCTCAACTCACCCCATCGCTCCGCGATTCAAATCGCAAAATTAATTCCTGCGACACCAGAATAAAAAAAAATACACACGACACACTCCCACAATACGAATCACCAACACATATAATATTTGATTCAAATCATACATAATTTTAGATATTGAGATGATTATTATAAGAAAGCTTTAATATTGCTCAATTTTTAATAAAATAGTAGCCTGCATTTCAATTTCATGTCTAGATTATCGAAAATAATCAACTTAATTAATTTCTCTTAACATATTTATCAGATTTTTTCGTGATTCTAAGAGTGCGATGGACAAACTTTGTTTAAATTCGTTGCGCTTTTGTTGCAAAAATAGACATTCTTACATACTTAATTATTTAACGTAAACAAAACTTTCAAAACAATGTATTAAACTGTTTTGTCTACGATTTATCTATGTTTCCTCCTTGAATTATGTTTTTTGTTCAGTAATTCCTCATTTTCTTCCTTCTTACGAAATGTAGCAACTATTTCTGGACAAAAAACCGAAGTAGCAACTTTTTTCGGACAGAAGAAGTAGAATTCTAACAAATTAATTAAATGTTGAGTAATTTTAATAACATTTTTTTCTGTCTCAACGATTTCTTAATATATAATTTCTATTGAATTAAAATGATTAATGTGAACATTTACAAACAAACTCAATTATTTTTAGGTGACAAAGGTTCTATAGCAAAAAGTTAATATATTTTATCTCGTCGAAAGAAAATAGAACCCTCTTGTCTTTTATATTGCCTTCTCCGCATGTGATTATACAAGATGAGAAAGAGATTATGGTTGAATTGTAATAAGTTACATTCTATATAGAGAGGGTGCATTTAAAGGAGGAGACCGCAATCTCCGACCAAACAAAATCTATTCATTTGAATAACTCGTTTACCGTTTTACTGATTTATACAATAAGACTAAGCTAATTACTCATCTATTGCAATTTGAATTGACATTTTAGAGTAAAGAAAGATAGCAATTTCACATTACATTATTACACATAAAATATACTTTTACAATTACCAAAAAATATCAACAAAAACCACATCAAAACTACTTGTCATGCTGCATTAAATGTTTGAAAAGTTGAAAATTCTTAATGCTTTATTTGGTTTATATTATTATTAAAATCAAATATTTTATGTTACCACGAATTAGTGAAATATTTTACATATTATAATGGAAAGCTAAATAATGTTATCATTAATTATACACAAAATCTGTTTTAATGAATCGATGAGCAACTTTTGGAAAGTTTTAGTGCGCACAGGGAATTAGAGTTTAATAAAATGATAAATTTGGGGAATTTTCGTTGGAACTGCAACGGCGGCAGCGGCGGCGGCGGCAGCAGCATTCAGAATTTAATACTTGTAATGAACGCGAAACTATTTCAATTATTTTCAATTTTGATTTACACTCATAAACACGCGCGCACAGACCAGGGCATGCCATTTCCATCCAAATATTAGTTATTTCCAACTACTGCCGCATATTTTAATTTTTTGCTCCTCTGCAGCAAACATTTTTTTCCCCCCCAATTCAAAACAATACAAAAGCAACGGAACTGAAAACGAAAAAAATATTACGGAACAACAACAACAACAAAAATGAAGTTGTGAATTGTGTTAGCTTTACTCTATTTTTTTTTGTTGTTGATACAAATATTTCGTTTGCTGCGCTTCGTCCCTTTTTTACAATTATTTTCGTTGACCTTTCGTACGGACGGAAAATTCCATAATTCGATGATAAATCTGAATCCTCGGTGGTGGCCTTCTCTAATGGACGCACGCATTGGGACAATTACACCGTCGGGAATCGGGCTCGAAACTTCGACATCTTCCTTGGAACTTTAATAAATTACGGTCGGTCCCCTGGCTGTTGCAGCGCGGCTGTGGGGATGGTAAAATATGCCGTGGATAGATTTGCCTGTAATAACATTATGCAGACACGGCCGTTGGCGGTTAGCGGAACTTCTGGTCGAATTTATGTGGGCAATATGCGCCCGTCCCGGTGAGCTTAATTTTTTTCCAATACCCTCCTGCGCAACTTCGATCAACTTAGTTAGAACAAAAGGGGGAGAGAAAAAGAGATATTAGAATCGAATTAACGGATTTATTGCGGCAGAAAATCTTCTCCGCTCGATCGCCTAATCTTTTCCAACTTAAAAATGAATAACAACACTTCCTTAATAACATTTAAAGCTTCGAATTTATCCTTCTGCGAGGATTACGCAAATTACGCGTTCTTTTCCCGCGACGAATCCCTCGGATCGCAGGTTAATTGGGGACAGCTTTGAGGGCCGGTAACTTGGCGCAAACTAGTTAATATCTCCCCTGGTTACTTAAAGGAGTTAAATTTATGGGACCCCGAGACCGCATTTCGTTTTGAAGTTCGTTGAACATTCGGATCCGAAACACTAATATTTAATGATAAGATACGACCGACCCACATCTAAATCATATTAATGCTAATCCTCGCCATCTTCGGATACTAAGATACAAACCCTTCCTTACACAGAAAGCCTCAATTATACTACATATTTATACAAACATATATACATACATACTTTTGATTTATTCCCATACTTCCCAGTCAAAAGAAGTGAAACAAAAATAAACATATATATGGATGAGTTTTAAGTTTCTTTCGATGCTTTCCGTGGTGTGTAAATCCCGTCGAAATGTTTTCATCGGGACCATATTTCGTGCGTGCGGTTCCCCCGGGACTGGGGAACGAAAAAAAAGTGTGCATGTGCATAATGTGGAGGAACGGGATATTCGAGACGGCTGGAATATAAACAAATCGTTGAAGTAAAAAGAAACAAGTGAACGTGACGTGGCTGGGATTCTTAATGGCTAGAAAACATCTCATTAAGATGGAAACATAATATAGATATTATACCTTCAAGCAGAGCACGGGCGAAGGAGAAGGAGGATCTCATAAAATCTTGTTGGCGGAATTAAATTTTATGTAATATTTGTTTTCACTGTCTTCTCCGGCTCTTAATATATGTGAGATTGCAACTAAGCAAACATCGAAACCACTTCCTCTGCAACATAAACATACTACTTAAAAAGTTTACTACATTTTATTTGCAAAGAAATATTAAGTATTACGTAAATATCATAATATAATTGATTCTTTTAATGTTCAAGTATAAATAGAATCAATATACGCAATTAAATACTGTTTTACATATATAGTAAAACTTCACGCAGCATTCTCTGAATTTATAATATGTTAAATTATTACAAATCATTTGCTAACACTCCATACTTTCTTAGTCTACATTTAACTTGTCTAAAAATCTATTAGGCTTCTTAAAGCAAATATTATGAATAGAAATTAACGGCAAGTTTAAACGTACTTTGTGGTCGTACTTAAAAAGAGGAAACCGTTTTTAGTATTCGGTGAAAAGGCAAACACTTGCCTAAGCCATTACGAAAACATCTTTCGTGCCCTAAGAAACATCATCTGGCTCATAATTGTCAACTCTTATCTTCGCAGAGGAACATCGATAAGCAGCTTAAATTCTGGAAATTTTCGTGCATTTTCGATATTTACGACCGGGTAGCAAGTTTTTGTATATATTATCTTTCATACACTCATATATTTTTTTTTTCTTGGAAGGAAAAATTGTTAACAGATTTATCAGCTGTAAATGTAATAGTTAATAATAATGCCAACTTTTCTTTATTTACTGATCATACTACAATTATTTATAAGTAACATTTCGATGTAACCCTCACCTGTTAACCGATCTCTCCGACCTTTCCTGAAGTTATTCATAGCCGCTTTCTTGCGTAAGAAATATGTACATTTCTATAAGCAAACAACACGGAAATAAACATTCCATGTGAACTTCATATTTTTTATTAATAACAAGAATGAATTTATTATTATAAACATGTTATTAGTTATTGAATGATATTTGTTAATGTAATAATGCATAAGTTTGTATACAGTGTTTTCATAAGTTATACATACATGTACTTTTATACTTTGGATTTGCCAAGTGCGATACTTGTTGATATATACAATCAAATTTAGCTGGAATTAAATAAAATGTGACTTTAACAAAGAATTATTCTTTTTTTATCACCTATTAAAAAATTAACCAAAAGCAAATATTGTGGACATCAGGATTTCCAAATAAAAGTAAGTAACAAAAGTTTATAGAGTTAATCTCCGACAATTTTTTTGACTTAATCAATATCTTTCGTTAATCTTTATTACGACCCCCAGGTAAAGAAATAGTTTAAATTCACACCGGAAGCGTTCGATTTCATTGAAATCCAACACCCAGAGTGTTCCCAGATTAAATCCCATTCTTCGTGCATCACCGAAATCGCGTTAGACAAACTTATTAATTTCGTGACCCAAAAACGATTGTATGTAGGTAATAAATCAGCAGGGATTTTTTACACGTCGTCCGTATGTAACATAAGAGAATCTAATCCGGAGCATAGTTCTGTATTTATATTCGGGATTAAATGCAGAATATGCTGGAGGGTAGCACACGAACCGTGGGAACAGGGAAGTGAAATAGAGAGAGAGAGATAAAGAGAGAGTGTGATTCTCCTGCCCTAGGTTTTTCGGGGTGATGCGCGACACCCATTACACGCCATTCACCACTTCATTGTGACACTGCCATTGTACCGAGTCGGTCACTTTCGCCGTCACCGGCCCAACAATAATGGTATTACTTTTTAATCTAATTAGATATGATCCATGGACACCATCCGCATCTTCCTTTTTTTTTCCCCCCGAGGGGTGCATACATAATTGGACCGGCACTGCCATTCAAAGATAGCACATTTCTATATAACATAATGCCGCTGCGGCGCACACTGTTCGCCGTGAGTTCGTGTCTTCATGCTTTCGGAGGGTACGAATTATTAATTAAATATTTATCAGTTCCACTGTCCGGACGAATGGACGGACAGACGGATGGACGAACCTTTGTTTTCCACTCATCGTCTTCTTTTTTGCTTTTTTTTTTTTCTTATTTTCCCCATCCTTCGTTCACCCTCCCCAAGTTTTCCTTCCGCCAGACCAAATTGAATATGCCATTTAATGGCATTTTTTCTGCGACGCTTTAATTAATTTCCAATGACAGTTTAATGAAGAAAACAAACATAATAATGATGCAAACCAGATAACCATTTTTATTCAATATGTTAATATCATAATCAATTTCGAAACAAATAAATCAATATATTTTCAATTCGAGTTCCGAAAGGAAAGTTTAGTCATTTTTTATAAAACTCACATTTCGTGAATTTCTCGACAACCCCTAAAGATAATTACAACCACTTAAGATACTTACATCATCGATCACTCGTATGAAAGCTGAATGTCTCACCTATCCAACGAATCTACTGTCATCTTCGTACTGCTGTCGAGTCGCCTGCTAAGAGCTTTAGAAATTGGAAAAAAAGTGAATAGAAATTGTCAAAAAATGGATGTAATTCAGTTTTTCAATAATAACTCAAAAACTAATATACTTTTTTATGATTTTATTGCACAATCAGATGCACGCAAGCGTTACGCAACTTTGTATGTAACAAAAGTTACGTAATGTTCAATACGTAACAGAGAAACAACGTTTTTTCGTTTTTTTTCAGTTTTTCGTGAATTTCTCGACAACCCCTGAAGATAATTACATCATCGAATACTCGTAAGAAAGGTGATTGTCTCACCTTTCGAACGAGCCTACAAGCATCTTCGTACTACCGCCGAGTCCCCTGCTATGAGCTTTAGAAATTGGAAAAAAAGTGAATAGAAATTGTCAAAAAATGGATGTAATTCAGTTTTTCGATAATAAATTGAAAAGTAATAAACTTTTTTATGATTTTATTGCATAATCGGATACACCCAAGCGTTACGCAACTTTTTATGTAACCAAAGTTACGTAATGTTCATTACGTAACAGAGAAACGACGTTTTTTTCGATTTTTTTTCAGTTTTTCGTGAATTTCTCGATAACCCCTGAAGATAATTACATCATCGACCACTCGTATGAAAGCTGAATATCTCACCTTTCCAACGAGTCTACTGTCATCTTCGTACTGCTGTCGAGTCGCCTGCTATGAGCTTTAGAATTTGGAAAAAAAGTGAATAGA